TGGAGATAGGAGGAGATTTGGGTAAAGATGGGTGGAGGAGGACTGGGGGGGTTTGAGGAGGTTGGAGATGATAGAAAAGTGTTTTTTGGGGTTAGAAAATGAACTCTATTCTAGATTGGTAGAAAGAGCTTTTGGCAGCACAGATAGAAGCAGAAAAAAAGGGAAGAGATTCAGCAGTTCGTCAGTTTTTTTAAAATAAATTTACGCCCTTTCCTTTCCGATGTTCGCGTAGTGGCTCCCTTGGCACGCACCGGTTCAGACAGCCACTGAGCTGGAGGGGATTTACCGGCCTGTCGTGACGTAAGAGGAGGACAGTTGAGAGGAGGGTCTCTGATTGCATCCATCGAGGAACCCAGAAGAAAAGAGAAATATAATGGCAGGGCGGGAGAAAGCACTCAACCAGGGGGTTTGGCGCGGATGGTCCGGGGAGGTCGGTGTGCAGCGGGTGCTGCTGCCTAGCGCAGGGTCCCCTTTTCACTCAACTTTTCAATCCAACTCATGGCCGATCTACCCCCCTCCCGCTCAGGCAGTTCGCCCGAATAATAATAATCACGAGCAGTAGCAGTGACCGAACAGAACAACAGCGCGGGAGAGCAAAACAAATCGATATAAAAAAGAAAACACAACGAGCCTCTAGTCTGTTAAAAGCGATCGCGCATGCGTGGAGACCTGGCGGGATTCCTTCCAATGGCCGGTGATCTACCTGGTCCCCCTGGTCTAACGCATGCGCTCACAGAGTGCGGAGTGGAATAGCAGCTTCTTTTATAGAAATGCAATTTATGTATCTGTAATTCTCACAATAGCAAAGTCATCCGAAGGGCCGCAGTGGACCCCCACGGTGGCCTTGAGTTTGACACCTGTGCTTTAGATTAACACTCTAGCTATGTAAACGATAGCCCATAATCAGTGTTGTTGTTGGCCACTGTTGGCAACTGCTTGGAGCCTTCCAGCTAGCATAGTGATGGTGTCATGAGTAGGAAAGCTGTGGCATGCTCTTGACACATTCTAATCACCAATCAAAATACACCTCTTCAAGGCTCGACATTAAGGCTTTTCTGGGACACTTATGTGTATTATACCGATTTTATTTTACCAATTTGAAACAAATACATTTTTTAACAAGTGACGTACCTAGCAAGCCATTATTAGCATAATTTATATTGACTTAATTTAGGTACCGTATTTTCCGCACCATAAGGCGACAGTGTGCCTTATATATATGGATCAATTAGTTAATGGGTTGATCCATACTGGTTGTACACGGCGCTCAAGGCGCTCTGTCAAACACGCCAAAGCTCGTCTACGACGGCGAGATGCTGAGCGGCGCTGAAGCGCGTGAGATATGGAGCTGCTTTCAGGGCGCGTCGGAGAAACAAAGCTGTCGTTCTCGCCGAGCACTTCATGAGATTGAAGAGCGAGAGACGGCGCCCTTTTCTCTACAGTAGCTGAACCATCTTAACGGGGACCATAAGTTATTCTCCAGAACAACAGGTGGAGTAACGTGTTTTGCTGAAGACGACCTAGAGAGTCACGTCTTTGTGTGTGGAAGTCGTTGGTGGGTTTATGTATTTACCATAGACTTTATTGCCCCGTGCATCCACACTGCTGCTTTTCATCAAGGACACATTTGTCCCGTATTTTCCTCCACGACTTTGTTCCCCTCGTTTGTGAAGATCTCCCTCCATGAATCAGAGGCCATCCGGCGTCCTCATAGTCCGCCAATGACGGCTTGTACAAGTGCTCATATTTACGCATTTCTTCACACAAAAGCTCTTCAATCTGATCCGTTTTCTCGTAAACATTCTTCGTTTTAATATTGGCCGTATTGTGCTATGAACCTCGCAGCATCGATCGGACCCTGATCGGACCGTCTCCACCTTCCTACATCCCCCCCATCCACCCGCCCCAACGTCAAACGTTTGACTGCAGACTGCAATCTTATGCGCCTTATAATCCGGTGCGCCCTATTTATGAAAAATGTTCTAAAATAGGTCATTCATTGAAGGTGCGCCTTATAATCCGGTGCACCGTATAAAACATGGTAGTTACATATCAGAAATTGTGTAAATGTTTTAAACATGTTTACAAACACCTCAATTTTTACCTATATTATTTGTATATTACACCTCATCTTCGTTGTCAAAGGGAAACATGCTTAATACATTTAAATGATTAAGCTGTACACAGACTTTTGTGCAAAAACAAGTGAAACGCTAATGTACCAATATACAAGCGCCTCAAATCGTTAGTGTCGAGCATTCTCTTCAGATTAACTTTACACATAAAATTTTACATTTTTTACCTGAAAGTAACTGGTTTTATTGTTTTATCGGTTTGTGCAATCTGTCCTGCTTTTACTCTAAAGTGTCTGAGTACCATGTAAAGTGTTGGTAGTAATAAAACATTTTATTTATACTATTACTGAAAGATTTTGCTGACAAATAGTATTAAATCTTAATGTACAATCTGCTATATATATATGGATTCTGCACAATGTTGTCTGGATTGTACTTAATGTGTGTACGTAATGTGAATAAATGTGTAATGGTGATGAGTGGTGTTATGAAATGCTAATTATTATTTTAGATAATAAAATGTCCAGATGCGCTTTGCAAATTTTTGCAGAGACCCTCACCTCCTGAAGAAAGCTCAGCTGATCCCAAAGGTTCATCTCTCTCTGGACCGTGTATGTTTGTTTAGCTATTATAGTTATTGGTGGAAGCAATAGTTAATTAAACTATAATCTTTAGTTCAAGATTATGTAAATACACTCCATTCATTGTAAATTACTTTCAACCCCATTCTCGAACGTTTTATCATTTTAAAGAACTTCACTGATCTGGTTATACTCGTAAATGCTTAAATACAGCTGCAGGTGAAGGGACATGTAGGAGCATGCAGCAGGTAAGTCTAGAATAATCTTTACTTTACACTCAAGCTTACAAAACAAGGATTTACACTTAGTGCCAATTTCAAATGTTTGAATAATAGTTTACTCCATTAAACACCATTGATCTTGTTAAAGGGAAAAAATGATTTAGATGTATTTACTGCCTGCACAAGATCTGTGATAAATCTCAACATAACAGGAGAAAAAAAATTAGGCCTTGTATTGCCTATTGGCACAATGTATCTGTATTAAAAGATGAACGTCAAACGTATTTACCTTCAAGTGAAGGAGCAACAGACAACACAACGCGTCCTGATTCTACACTACAGCATAATTTATCTTTTAAACCATATTCGTATTTATTTGGCGGACAGCGCAGAATGTATTAACCAGCCAGATAGCTAATTTATTTGTTGTTGGAGTTCCAAACTTACTAAAAATGAAGTGCTTTGAGACCATTATATTGCCCGTAGTACATTTATCAAATATAAATATTGGGTATAATATACAACATATGGTACCCATAATGTATATCAGAATATCATGGAATGGATGTGGTTCAAAGTCGCCTCAGGCAGCCAATGGCCGAGAGACGGCCCTGATCCCATTCATCAGTAAGCCAACAAGTCCTTGAAGTTGTAAAGACTTATTCCACATGTGGCTTCCTTGAACTCACTGTAACCTGGCAGCATTGTCTCTTATCTTCTTGGATAATTTGGCCATGAATTTATAAAACTTGAATATACAAACATTTCTGTGTCCCATGCCATTACTCAAACTGCGTTGGGCAGGTTTAGGATTTCACCATGCCATTCAGGCTGGGTCCACGTTTCACCCCAATTCACACAATGAAATTTACTGAAAAGCCAAATTTGCTCTGCAAAGCCAGCCCTGAACTGACATGGCAGCCAATTCCACCACTAATCAGCGTGTTTAAACTGCTTAGCTTGAGGTCTTTGAGATGGAACTATGCCAATTTTACTTTAAATCTAAAGCCTATTCCTGAAATATCAGGTGCAGCTAATTTCCCTACAGGTTAACAGAAGTCTTCCCTTAATGAATAGAAAGTGGGAGAAACTGCTTCTAACTCTGGTTATTCAATCCCCCCCCACCCAAATTATGATGAATGGCTTGCTAGCATTAGCCTTTGCTACGAGAGGGCTCAGTGACCCATTGAACTGGTCTTTCTTCATTGTCCACACTGCTTGTCCCAGAGGTACGCAACCTTTTCTTCTTCCTCCGGGATGCCTCAATGATAAAGTATCCCCTAGCTGGCCTTCCACTGGGGATGGCAATGATAAAAACAAAATGTAGATTTTTTTAGCGAACTACAATATCATTAGTAATTCAGGAATCAGGAAACATTTATTTGCCAAAATATGCCAAACATACAAGGAATTTGTCTTGGCGGTTAGTGCGCGACAGTAGACAGACAAGCAGTGCACAAGTAATAAAGTAGAATGAAATGCTAATGCAATGGGTTAGTGTAAAACAAGGGAATAAAGTTAAAAATGTTAAATATTAAAAAGTTAAAGAAAAATATTAAGCATAAAGTGCACTAACGAACAAGTAAAAGTGACGAGTGACAAAGTGATGAATTGCAGTTAAAGTGGCATGTGCAGTGTGAAGGGGAGTGACCGGTGGAGTGTTATAGTCAGTCAGTGGGGGACCGGGCTCATCAACATCTCCTCCCTGTCTTTATACGTTAAAGTCATTCATACAAAAAATTCTGAAACAAGAAAAACCCTGATCACCTAACATTGATTCACCATGACACACAGCGATGGGTTAGGAAGAGAAGACTGGGAATTTTACATGTATCACTACAGATGACCGAGGCTTCACACATATTACATTTGTGTAGCGACACGTGATGCATAGGTGAGGGCAGTTTAAATATTATAATGTTGCCAGACAACGCCACCCTGGGCATTTCACCCAGGGAATTGTTTTAAATCTTAAAAATTAAACTAAGGGGAGGCACTCAGGTTCGTTGCAAATGATGGAGATGTAGTTTAAGACACAATGTAATTTTATTAAATTCTATTTATGGTTTAAAAAAACAAAAAAAAAAACACTCTTCACTCTGGGACCAGCAACGGGGGAACCAATCAGGGCTGAGACTTACGAGGATGGACGATCCAAAGAAAAGGGGACCCAAGGAGCACCACACGTGAAACTAAAAGTGAAGCAAACTCAAACATGCAAAAACATAACATGAGAGGGACACCACCACCTGGGACACCAATCCACCACCGCAGACTCCGCACCTGAAGGGGGGGAAGAGGAGGGCAACAGGTCTAAAATAAATGAAACTAAACCAAAACAGGAGAATACAATTACATTTTAACCAAAAACTAATAAAACACCGACAAACTGTTTAACCAAATCACAAAATAAAGAAAACAGACAAGAAGTACGGCCTGTCTCTCGTACATACAGTTAAAATATTTCTTGACCTAGTAGGAGGCCCACAGTGAAACTCAATGAGCAATGTCGGGAGGCCAACGACAAAGCAGACCGAAACAGGGTGGGTTTAGCAAAGGCGAAGTAAAGCAACATGGTTAGTTCATCCAAAACAAGCAAACCCAAACATAGTTTAACCAAGGCAAGGCGAAGCCCGAACTGGGTTAGTTTAACTAAAGCAAAGCAAAGCAATTTAGCCAAAAGGCAAAGCAGCAGTGGTCTCTGGCAAGTTATCGGGTGTAGAGCTGATGCTCCATGATCCCTGCCCTGCAGAGGAAAACAGACATTAGAGCCTTGCTATGGCTGGAGGGAGCTAAAGCCACTGCGCTACATACCGGTTGGGCCGCTTCAGACAATCAGCGTGGGTCGGAGGGATCGACGCTACCACGAGAATTACCAGCAGCAGACATTGAGTGCATCAGTTGGAGAATAGTATGCAGCCATACCAGTGAGCTTCTGGGACACAAAAGGCACTTAAATGAGCACTGGACGGACAACGTGGGAGTGAATACAGTTGCTGCCGACAGCCTACCTGTCACCACACAGCGCCGCGTGAAAGACGCCAGGAGGTGTCGTAACCCCAGCCTCTGGCAAGTGAAATGCAGACAGGTGCTCTGAAGCCGCCTTTATACCCCATTGTCATGCAGCGATTGGCTGTGATCGGGACCCAGCTGAAAGTTGTTAGGACCAATCACTGCATACTACCACAATCGTCATTTCTTAGTGTCCCTGCTTTGGTGGAAAGGCCTGCATGTTTTAGATTTCAATACATATATCTGATACCTCTGATTTGAGGACGACCGCGTCACCCACTCACAGTGGGGTCAGTCTGAAAATATTACTTTGAAACACAAAAAATCTGAAAACACAAAAATCTCTAACACTCATAAGAACACCAAGTTCTTAGACGCTTTCAGAGCTTCGACCGGATGCAGCACGAAGACTTTCCATGAAAGCAGTGCGACATGAATAGGCAGATAAACCCTTCAGGCTCAATGTACTTACAAAGTATTTGAGTGTTTTAATGAAGCCCACCTAGAACTATAACCACTTTGTTTTACTTTGTCGACTGGATAATTGCTAGGCTGCTTTTTCTAGGCAGCTAGTTTGCTAATTAGCATTCTAGCTTGGAGCGTGCTGCGACGTACCTCGTGTTGGGAATGGTGTAGGGGCATTGTTGTGGTTAATAGAGCGTGTGAAATTAAATCATTGACATTAAATCACTAAAATAATTCACAAAAAATAAACAACAAGGCACTCTAAAAGGGGACTAATAAACTATAAATCACGTCTCATAATTATATATGATATATCTGAGGAACTGGTAGGTTTCAGTTCGTACAGTGGATGTTTCCAGCCAGAATTACACTACACATAAGCACAGAGAAATCATAGAAATGTTCTCCTTAAAGTATAATATGGTTTATTAACTTCTAACAATACCAATGAGATCATTAGTATTTGAAATCAAAAGCTATTATACAATATCCTAATATCTAAATGTGGCAATGCTAAGAGGGAAGATCTGGAATTTTACTATTAAAAGCCAACAACGCCACCAAGGGAATTTCACCCCAGGAATTAAAAGGGACCACCAGTCTGAGGTCAATGACAGGACACCGGTTCGGACAACACAGGCACTGGACGTGATTCCATAAACAAAATTATACAAGTTTTTTAATATCAAATTATCTTCTTAAAATACAGTCACAAAGTTCAATAAAATCTCTCGGGTTCTCAGTCATTCGGTTACCATGGGATGCAACGTACAGGAGGGAGACTGAGGGCTCACTGGCAGAGTTGACTTGCTGAGGGGGAAGGGGCCTAATGTTCCACCACGCGTGAAGAACAAAACAAACCACACACCAACTATTGACACCGAGGTGCACTGCAACGAAAAAAACGAAGGGAACCACCACCGGGATCAGCCAGTCACACCTACCAGTGGCACCAACAGCTCCTGTTCATCAAAACAAGAAATAGCAACCATTAGAACGTAATACCGGCCAGGAGGCCCACACACACACACACACACACACACACACACACACACACACACACACACACACACACACACACACACACACACACACACACACACACAAAGAAATGAATGATTAAATCACAAAACAGAAAAAACAGCCTAGACAGAACAGCAGTGGGGAGGGTCCCGCACGGTCTAGAGGCCCCCTTCAGCAGGTGAGCCACTGGCGGGACGTGGAAGCTTCAGTGCTCCTGCGCCAGGGTGGTGCACCACAGCGACGCCGCTTTAGCTGCAAATCAAATAACAGAGGCATCTATGAAACATTTAGGCCACGCTTCCACCTCCAACCTCAGTCGGCAGACAGGCAGGCGCCGTCGATGACGCGGAAGGGGGAGACACAAAAGACGCTCCGTGCAGCACATGGGACGCCACGCGCACAATGCGGCAGCCACGCTCCCTCGGCCGCAACCCTCTAGGCCAGACAAGTGGCTGACTATAGCAAACAGCAAACACAGAGCGCATCAGCTACCAATGCCTTAATATAAAACAACATTGCCCAAAATGTACCTGTAAGTCTAAAACCACCACGACTTAACAAGTTGAGCCTCGCTGGGCCCTGCAACAGCCACGCCAGACCAGTCACACTGCCGACGCCAAAGTTTACCCCCGAGAAGAGGTAGGGAGACACACCTGAAGTGGATGGGCTGTTCCTTCATGTAGCCTCAGCAGCCCTGCCCCGTGATCAACCGGAGTCATAAACCAAGTGCTGCAGATCTGATTTCCATACAGGAACGAGACTCCGATGTTAACAACATTCAACAGCCAGAGTTTAATCCATCGCCGGAGGGGTCCCCAAAACTACCGCTGCTGGAATCACGACAACTAAGTTCTGCATTCTGTCCTTCAACATAGTACATTTAAAAAGGGTTCTTTGATTTGCACCTCTGGGGGGATTGTTAGGAAGTCCGAAACAAAGACCATACTAACTACACCTAACCTTTTCTTTTAAACTGTATTAATAAAACTGTATGAACTCTGAAAAGAGACTTTTTATCTAATTGTTTGTTCCCAAAAGTACATGGACTGTAACTCCCAGGTTTACCAACAGGATGCATGGTTCAGCCCTTGTGTTGCTCTAGACAGAGACGACACCTCACTATCAGACCAAAGGGGGGGTGTTCCCACCATAGACTTACTTTTGAATGCATTTCTGCTGCAGGACATGCAATCTCATTTTTTGCCGATTTTGGATTAGAAATTTTTGGTCTGGACCAAGCTGTCACTGGGACCATTGTGAGGAGGGAACTACCAGTCAGTCAGTATATTATGCCTGGCCTAAGAAAGGGACCGTGGCCATATGGTGATTTCAGTGGGAGTGAGAAATGTACAGAATTTTGAAAGGTCTTAAATGTAGTCTTTGGTGATATTCAGCTTATCAATGTGCTGGAGTCACACCAAAACAGCTTACTGCCAAAAACACAGCTGTGAAATGCAAGCAAGAAATATATTCATGTGAAGCTGATAACACCGATGGATACTCACAGGCATTCATGCAGATTAATTTCGTCACATCCATTGTCAATTAGCAGAGATTGGGGAGAAGCTGTGATTATCAAATGAGCTTAGTGTATTTAGCCAGGACTAATCCCTGGCTTTCCTTGTTTATGGGATTTGATGAGAGACAGTGGTGAGTCAGCTGGAGAGGTGACAGGACAACTGGATTCACACACGCAAACCCACATGCAGGGCATGTGTGAAACACCGATTAGCTCAGTGTCAAACCTCCATGTGCTTTCTCTAGCATTAACGAACACAGTAAAGCAGAACTACATCATATGATGATGAAAGATGAGTGAGTGATGAAAGTGACTGTGTGGTTGTGTTGTGTCTGTTTGTGGTCTGCGCTTCTGTCTGTCCTCTTAACCGTATTTGCATGTCTTTAATAGAAAAAAACGTCGTTTTGTGTTTTCCATTCTTAAATAGAGTCGGCAATTTTAAATGAAATACTTATTCTTTATGTCCATTACAATAACACTGGGCTCTTATTGACAAATGCATTTTGTCTACTATCAATTGATGGAACAACTATCTTGGCTGACTTTAATAATTATTGGCCTTGAATGACCCTGAATTAGTGCTTTTAATGACTGAATGAATCAGACTGGCTTTTATGAATACCTCAGATGTTATGGACTTAAATGTTTCTCTGCCTTGACCTCCTCATGGTCATCCGATCCATTTTCATCAATGTCCTGAAAGCACTCAATTGGAAGCTATACATAAATAGCAATACTTCATCATACAAGCTGTAGCAGGGCACACATGAGAATGCCATACCTGTTCTGTTGCACTGCTGCTTTCTCCAACCTGTCCCAAGCATAATCACCAACAATCAGCCTTTCAGTCCGGTCTTATAGGAACCGGTGCCAATATGGAACCCATTTTTGGTACCCAACCCTACACATGGTGCAGCAACACATTGTAAGTGGAGGACAGAATTTCCTCGAGCTCAGCTCGCCAGCTGATCCATTTCTTGAGACTAGTATGAGGAACAGGCTGACGCCAATAAATCTCACCAAATGCCAGCTATTTACATCTTCCTGTGTGAGGGACACCATAGACAATTAATTTACAGTCTGGACGGAGGGGTTTGTCTGCTCTGACTGTAGCTGAGGGGGCTGAGAAAGTGAGAACGATACTCCACCAGGTCAGAAAATTTGGTTGTGGCTTGTCATTACGTTGTGATGGTGGGTCCCGCAGCCAGACCAGAGAATCACTGCTCTAATGGACACAGCAGGGATTGGTTGTCACGATCTCCTGACTCACACACTGCTGTTTTTCATTTTACTTGTAGCCATCTGCTATCCCGGGGGTGTCAAACTCTAATACATAGTGGGCCAAAATTTAAAATTAAACAAAGCCGCGGGCCAACGTTGAACAAATAAACCTTTTAATATGAGCCAAACAAGTTTTGCTTCAACATTGAAAATGGAACAAGCAACGCTTATACAACTAAGTGCAGACATGCAAAATCGAATTTCAAATTTAAAAAACAACATATGAAATAAAATTTTATTAAAAATTGTATGCCTCTTTTCTATTTGTCGCCTTCTGAGGTAAATATTGTGACAAAATGTCCTGAGCTGTCGTCAGCGTCGCCCGGGAAACGGAGCAGAGACACCTGCACCCGCTCATCATGGGCTGAGCGGCCACACCTGCACCTGATCAGAGACTGGCTTGATAAGCCTCACAGCCACACAGAGGGGGAAGATGTCCAAGCCCCGGCTAACATTACCTCGGTTATTTCCCCAGACAGCAGTGCGTGACCGCGAGCCCACGTCTCCCCACGGACTTCACGGACCCACACACCACTGCGCACAGAGAGGAAGAAGGAGAGCCACTAAATAAAATCCACCCTTCGGGGTACTCACCGTGACCCTCGTGTTGTGCCCTTCTTCACCCCGTCACACTGGTGGAGAATGCGTGTAAGGAGCTGAAGAAGCACCAACCAGGATGGAGGACCTACTCAAACACCTCACAGAGGTAAGCATCCGCCAGCAACTGCTCTTTGAGCATATGGCCTCCCGACAAAGCGAGACAGAGCGGGAGCCCGCCC